GTAAAGAGTACGGTAAGAGCACATGTAAAAAGTAGCTATTTAGATCAGTAGCACAGCCTTATTGTGTTACTGAACTAAATAGCTACTTTTTCATATTGCAACATTGTTATAGTTTTTGCTATAACTATTCGTTACACATACTCTTACCATAGCTCTCTATCACTTCTATATAAGATGCAGATTTTTATATTTAGTTTTAAATGGCAGCGATCAGCCACTGGCTGCTGGCTGTTTAGGCGACATGCCCCTACTATACGGGGGGACGTGGCACAGGTAGAGGCATGCGGCAGGATTTAACCTGTGCCAGGTCCCCTCTTATTACACTAGCGACTGGATAGCAATAAGGGGCATGCAGGAGAATTTAACCTCCTTTTTAGCAATATGGGGGTCATAGTGACCCCCATACTGATTTATATTTCATTTTAAATGACAGCGAGCAGCCAGTCACTGTTTAGGTGACATACCCCTTCTCACTGCATGCCGCGAGTAGGGGCATGCGGGAGGATTTTACCTGCCTTTTGTTAATATGGGGGTCATAGTGATCTTTTATTGCTATGGGTAGTAAAGAGAGAGTTTTAGCTCAATATTCGCCACTGTGTATTTGATAAAATCATGACTATCCATCATGAAATCGCAAAATCATGTTATTTATTTTGTCCCTGATCATTGTAATCTGATTTGCCAAAATATCACTTCAACCAATTTGCATAAATCATAATAACATAATATTGTAGATATTTCCAACATGCACTATTATTGCTCTATATCCATGTTTCTACGTACCAGCAATTTTCATATTTTTTTATTTAAACATTTCAACAGGTTCCCAAAATTGAGCAAGCATATGTTATTGGACCATAAAACAAAACTGGCCCACTTATGTTCCATGATCAAATGTTGGGAAATTCTGCTAAAATAAATAAATATCCTCAGTGGTTGTAACTAGACCAAATATATATTAAAACAGGTCTTTTAATTCCCTCACTCTCATTATCACATTCAATTTGTCTGCTTTGGGATTTTAGACTTACTGTAATTATCTAGTTTGGCATACGTCTGGATGTAATTAAACACTCACCTCTTTTTAACTATAAAATACTGCTTGTTGCAGAGAGACGGTAAAAAGCAAAAAGCCAGTTCTTTATTGAAAACTGTCTTACACAAAAGCAGATATTGCATGTTTATTACATTTTACTATATTATATATGTATTTTCATAATGATAAATTTGAATGTTTCAAAAATAATAATAATGTGTGTGTGTGTGTGTGTTTATTTTATTTATTTTACTATTTATTTATTTATTTTTTACAATTTTATTTTTGTTTTTGTTATATCTCTATGGTTCACTCCACAAAGGAGCATAGTAAAATGATATCCAAGTATAAATCCAAACCCTGAAAAAAATCCTATTTGTCTGGATGTAAGTAGACGTGCGAACGCACTATTAAATTGAAATATAACACCTGAATTAAAAACCTATAATGAGAGAGTAAATAAAATATAGTAATGATACCATTGAATAATTAATAAATATATTTGTTTCTTTAGGGGAAATTGAGTTGTTGTAAATATTAAATATTTAATATATATATATATTTTTTAAAGTAGTCCATTATTTTAGCCTATATTGTGCAACTCGCAAGCCAGCTCACTGTCTTGTGAATAGATCTTAATTATGGCGAATTATTCCCTGATATGGACCATTTGGAATTGGCCTGCTATGTTCCTTGTGGATATTTTGGACAATACCATCACCAGCCTAGGATCTAAAGTTATAAGGCGTAGAAAACTAATTTCTGAACCAAAAGATACTGTGTATAGCTGGTATAGCTGGACCTGCAGATTGCAGACTTTCTCTAACTTTGCCTTGTCCCTTCTGAGTATTACAGCAAATATCTCCATTGACCAAGGTTTACACTATTATTATTATCATTTTCATAGCGCTAACATATTCCAAAGTGCTTAACAATCATAAAATGGAGATATTTGCACAGAGACAAGAAGTAAAGAAGACCCTGCTCAAATGAGCTTACACTAGTAGCTCATCACTGGATGCAACATCTGACAAGCTGTGTATAAAATATCTGATGGCACCCCCAACACACCTTGTCTACCCAGCACACCCACGCTTCCCTCACCCTACCTCAGAACACAACTACAAACGCAACATCATAGCCCAACCTTCACAAACACTTAAACCACACACTCCCGTAACCGCCCGAAGGATGCTCCACACTCAGGAGCAGACTAACATGACTAAGGAAGAACTCCACACCACACTAGAATGGCCCCGCCCCGGGAACTAACCACACGCCTCATAGGACAACCCCAAGCACCGGACTTGGAGGTCCCCCATACCTACGACAGACTCAATAAACATGGAGACCACACTCACACAAACACACACCCCAAAAAACAACGAACTACAACAACGCACAGATAAATCACCCCCAAAACAGAGACTGAAGTAAATGATACCCTATAGGTTGGGGCATGATCACCGCATGCCACACAGTAAGAGTAACAAACCAGCCCATCCACAACGAACAACGAGTCCCAACACCCGAAGGCATCCTGACCCCAAGTCCATCCATAACCGAAACCCGTAACAACAACAGAATGAAACCCACACCTAACACATAATACAAACCCAGTAGTAACAGAAGGGAGGCCTACAGATAAAAGCTAATAACACACACGGGCACTACCCGGGACAATACCCCGCCTACCTAGACCGCCACACTCAGTCAGAAGCCAACCTCGCACCACCGAAGGAGGTTGATGAACCAATTCTCCAGATGGACCTAGATAACCCCAATGGACCCACGAGTCCATCGCCATCACTAGACGAAAGCTAAATGTGCTCACCACTCTCACTACTCTCATCGTCCCCGCAGGTCTACGAACCCTGTTAGACTTAAGGTCCCGCTGCCACACACCCACGATGAAATAAACACGGCCGCCACAAAACACACTCAACCCCCACATACCACATAACATACCCCGCACTAACAGAGTGGATACCGAACAGAAGAAGACCGACCACACACACACACAGACAATATTAAAGACAATACACCACACACCTAGACCGACACACACATCCAGAAGCCCAACACACCACACCAATAGGAATTGACGACACGACGCCCAGAAGGGTCATGATACATTTATACGGACCTATGAGCCCATCGCAACAGATAGAACAATACTAACTGTGCTCAATGTTCTCACTATGTTTCACATCTATGGAGGCCTGCGAGCCACGCTGTTTTAAAGGTTCCACTGTTATCTGTTTCTACTGTAAGGAAAATTGCAACCAAAACATAATGATATGAGCTTTTTAATCATATACACATCCTCTCCCATGCATACCTCCAAGTGAAAGCTACAATTATAATGTAAAGTAACTTTAACTCTTTAAACATATTAATACATTTATATTACACAGCTACACAGTGCCACAATGGCAACACGGCAACTAATAATGGGCCACCCTTTATACTCCATTTAATTTAGCAACAACTCACATCTTAGTACACCAAGAGCTGAATGCCTGAACTCCCCACAACTTGCTTGCATTATAAACACATTTATAGTCATTTATATGCACCAAGGCAGAAGACAAACGCCTATGACTGTGAAAGTAGACGGGCCAGCCAAAGTTATGCAATGTACTTGTTGTGTTATAATGGGTGCCCGTGAACTCGTTAGACCGGACCCCACTCGGAGCGTAGACTACTGACCGAAAACGATGTTGCCATTCCTGCAAACACAAATGCCTACAAATAGCAACAAACGATAATAGCAGTATCCCAGGCACATAGCACTCTGCCCTATCCACAACTGGACTGGCACTACGATTACAATTCAGCATGCACTGAGTAATACCAGAATCAGCATGTTGAATCCCCAATGCATTCACTTTCTAGTATCGATCTTATGGAGGATGCACATACCCCAAGTTATACTACTGCTCAGAGCCACATGCTTGTTCCTAATGTTTATTGACATATGCATCAATCAATAGTTGGATCTGCGCATCCATACACTATTAAGATTTAAGAGACCTGCGAGTCTCACACTGCTAACTGTGAATACACATACAATGCTGATTAACCTTTAATAAAAATATATTTACAAAAAAAAAAAAAAAAAGATCTGATGGCAAATTGTCGATACATGATATGCTGCCACTTCAGTTTGTTAATCACTTTATTTTCTACCTCACAAGATTAAAGTACCCTACAGGCCATGTGGTTTTTATTTTTAAAAGTCATTCACTGTAAAAGATCTTAAAATAAACGTACTCCATCCGGTGCCAAAAGCCTTCTTTGTTTGAAATAGCTGATTGGTTTTGAATTTCACAACCCATTCAGTGCAAAAAAAAAAATTAGAATCTCAGAAATCTTAGAATAAAATATCAAACAAATACATTTTGATAACATTACATTTTTACAGCACTCGAACTACACTTGCTACAATATCCATCGGTCCAAAAATATAAACAAAGCCATACTTGAGGTGGAACGACGACCTCTAGGAACGATATTCTATTCACTCAGTTCCTGGCATCCCACAACTTACTAGATATCTGGAGTGTGCAACATCCTACGACAAGGGACTTCACCTTGTACTCTCACCCACACAATTCTTATTCCAGCATTGACTACTTTTTACGTTCCCAGAGCTTACTCTCATAAGCCTTTAGAACTGCAATAGGCAGAATATCATGGTCTGACAATGCAGAGATCTCCTTCATTCTAACCAATCAAAAACTGAAATGTCCGTGGTCGTGGAAACTCAATCCACTACTAATGCATGACAAACAGGTAGTTAACACTGACTCCAAAGATCTCAAACAAAGGACTTAGCTCAACTAACTGCTGCCATAAACTTGCTCATGAGGCTGACCCTTTCAGATACGATGAAAGCCTTAATGTGGCTTAAACAAAAATATTACGAACAAAACAACAAAGCAAACTCAACGCTGGGGCGATGCCTGAAAAAAAAAGGCTAGATGCTAAATGGATCTTTCAGATCCAAACCTCAGATAACAATCTTAGCAGCTCCCCGGAGCTTATTGGGAACGAATTCCAACAACATTTTGACCACTCTCCACCTGCACAAGACACAGTAAGCAAAAAACAGTTGTGCAACGCAGACTTCCTTAGCGCTCTTGACCTTCTACCACTGACTCAGGATGCCAAAGAGAAGCTCGCTCGAAGGTAACAGTAGAAGAAATGGTGGTAACACTTAGCTCATTCAAACCGAATAAAAGTCCTGGTCCGGGGGGATGGGGGGATGGGGCCTAACCATCATGGAGATGAGATTTGTCTCTCAAGAGCTCCCGCTCAACTATGGTTATACAAGCGACATAAGGCTGTATCTAGCAAGACAAACAGCGGTACCACATACTCATAAGCACCCCACAACGGAGGGCATGCAGTGGAAGGATGAGAGACCCGCTGACACTGCGACCGACAGTGCGGTCTGTTACACAATGGGTGGGAGAGGTGACCTCTCTCCTGACCCGGAGGCACTCTGACGAAGCCTACAACATGAGCAAGCCCCATTATCCCCCCCTTTGGACCAGTGGGGGAGATCCCGGTTCTGGCGAAGTTGAACTTTAAGAGGTTCTGGAAGAAGCTGGAACGCAGGCTACATCAGCCTACCCCACTACACAGTACTAACCTTTCTGGACAGAAACCTTGACTAAACAGACGGCAAGCATCCAATGACGCTTTTGTAGGGCCTCAAGTGCCTGGTGTATAAGTCCATCAAACAGTCAGCATACTCATATTCTCACCTACTACCTTTACAATCTTCTAATGTGTTAGGCTCTACCTTCCTAATAGCATGATAATATTGTTCCCCATATAATGTGCAGCACCCTTGCTGGTTCATGATAACCTTATAAGCACAGCATGTTAGGCCCTCATTCATCACTATCTACCCTATTGAGCTTAATCTTAGGCACACAGCCTGTTTATTCAATGCCAAGACGTGTTATCGCCGAACTCTTTACTTATGTGACATGTTAGAAAGCTTAAGCCTGTTTATAATATGCAAATTAAGCTTACAAACTCAAACTGGAACACACGCATGTCCTATTCATCTTGTCACCCAACTCCTTAATTCTGCGACATGTTAGAAAGTTTATGCCTGTTTATAATGTGCAAATTTAGCTTACTTACGCAAACCTACACACACACATGCCCTCTACATCTTGTCACCCGACTCTTCAACTATGTGATGTGTTGGGAAGTTTAACCCCTTAAAGACCAAACTTCTGGAATAAAAGGGAATCATGACATGTCACACATGTCATGTGTCCTTAAGGGGTTAAGCATGTTTATAATATAAAAATGTGCAATGTTCTTCATGCCATTGTTTCACTAAAATGTCAATGTATACGCTGTTGTGGCGTTATCAAGTTGATTTGTACTCACATGCACAACATAAATAAAGAATTTTAAAAAAAAAGTCCTGGTCCGTATGGGTACACAGGAGTGTACTACAAGACCTTTACTTCTCACTTACTGAAACATCTCTGCGCAATGTTCAATAGTCTTTTGAAGGGTGACATGCTACCTGTCTTATCCCTAAACCAGATAAGGCTCATGACGAACCAGGGCACTACCGCCTAATATTGCTCCTCCTGATTGTGGAACTCCAGATAATGACCAAAGTTTTGTCCAATAAAATAAACCCATACCTTGAGTCGTTATTGCACCCAGACCATGAGGGTTTTATTCCCAACAGACAAATCAATAAGATTAGTTTGGCATGATCTCCCTGAAGTAAACCCATGTTGTCTCTGATCTTGAAATCCATGTGATTTTAGATGTTCAATCCTATCATTTAACATGGCTGCCATTACTTTCCCCACTACTGAAGTAAGGCTTACTTGCCTATAGTTGCCCAACTCCTCCCTACTACCTTTCTTGTGAATGGGCACAACATTCGCTAACTTCCATTTTTCTGGGACTACTCCTGTTAACAATGATTGGTTAAATAAATCTGTTAATGGTTTTTCTAGTACACCACTAAGCTCTTTTCAATAACTTTGGGTGTATTCCATCAGGTCCCATTAACTTATTTGCCTTTACTTTTGACAGTTGAAATAGAACCTCTTCCTCTGTAAGCTCACATGTAACAAATGACTAATTTGTCCTTTTTCCTAACTGAGGCCCCTTTCCTTCATTTTCATCTGTAAATACTGAACAAAAATATTAATTGAGGCAGTCAGCTAGACGTTCATCCTCTTCTACATACCCTCTTTCTTTTGTTTTTAATCTAACTAATCCTTGTTTTACTTTCCTTTTCTCATTTATGTATCTAAAAAATGTTTTGTCCCCTTTTTTTTTTACTGACTATGCTATTTTCTCTTCTGTGTGTGATTTGGAAGCTCTTATAACTTGCTTAGCCTCTTTCTGCCTAATCTCATAGATCATTCTGTCTTCCTCACTCTGGTTTTTTAATAATTACTAAATGCTAACTTTTAGTTTTTTTACTAATTTGGCCATATCTGCGGAGTACCACAGTGGTTTCTTGAATTTTTTGCTTTTACTGACAAGCCTAATGCAATTTTCTGTTGCCTTCAGCAGTGCAACTTTTAAATAATCCCATTTCTCTTGGACTTCATTAAAATTGCTCCAGTCTGATAATGACTCCTTTACAAATATTCTAATTTTATTTAATTTTCTGATAAGGCCCAAATCACTTAGCATTTAAATGAAAATAAGTAACACCTGCAACATATACTCATTTATCTAATAGTAATAAAAAATGTATGATAATTTACTATCACTGTTTAAATATTTATTTTTTGTTAACCCCTTAAGGACGGTGGGCGTTCTATGCTGTCCTTGGGGACCTGGCTCTAAACGCCGTCAGGCAGCATAGAACGCCCATGTACTTACCCGGTCGCCGGCGATTCCACGACGGCGATCGCGGCATGGGGACTCACCTGGGAGCACCTCCTTCCTCTCCAGCCCCCCTGAGCCATGTGATCGCGAGGTCCTTCCTTGTCAATGCCAGCAGGGGGAGTACCTGCAATGACAGGTACTCCCCCTGCTGCCTGAAAAAAGTTTTAAAAAAAGTTAAAGATACAGTTTAAAATAAAATATATACTTAGATCATATATATATATATATATATATTATATATATGATTTAAGTATATATATATATATATATATATATATATATACACACACAGGGAGTGCAGAATTATTAGGCAAGTTGTATTTCTGAGGATTAATTTTATTATTGAACAACAACCATGTTCTCAATGAACCCAAAAAACTCATTAATATCAAAGCTGAATATTTTTGGAAGTAGTTTTTAGTTTGTTTTTAGTTTTAGCTATGTTAGGGGGATATCTGTGTGTGCAGGTGACTATTACTGTGCATAATTATTAGGCAACTTAACAAAAAAGAAATATATACCCATTTCAATTATTTATTATTACCAGTGAAACCAATATAACATCTCAACATTCACAAATATACATTTCTGACATTCAAAAACAAAACAAAAACAAATCAGTGACCAATATAGCCACCTTTCTTTGCAAGGACACTCAAAAGCCTGCCATCCATGGATTCTGTCAGTGTTTTGATTTGTTCACCATCAACATTGCGTGCAGCAGCAACCACAGCCTCCCAGACACTGTTCAGAGAGGTGTACTGTTTTCCCTCCTTGTAAATCTCACATTTGATGATGGACCACAGGTTCTCAATGGGGTTCAGATCAGGTGAACAAGGAGGCCATGTCATTAGATTTTCTTCTTTTATACCCTTTCTTGCCAGCCACGCTGTGGAGTACTTGGACGCGTGTGATGGAGCATTGTCCTGCATGAAAATCATGTTTTTCTTGAAGGATGCAGACTTCTTCCTGTACCACTGCTTGAAGAAGGTGTCTTCCAGGAACTGGCAGTAGGACTGGGAGTTGAGCTTGACTCCATCCTCAACCCGAAAAGGCCCCACAAGCTCATCTTTGATGATACCAGCCCAAACCAGTACTCCACCTCCACCTTGCTGGCGTCTGAGTCGGACTGGAGCTCTCTGCCCTTTACCAATCCAGCCACGGGCCCATCCATCTGGCCCATCAAGACTCACTCTCATTTCATCAGTCCATAAAACCTTAGAAAAATCAGTCTTGAGATATTTCTTGGCCCAGTCTTGATGTTTCAGCTTGTGTGTCTTGTTCAGTGGTGGTCGTCTTTCAGCCTTTCTTACCTTGGCCATGTCTCTGAGTATTGCACACCTTGTGCTTTTGGGCACTCCAGTGATGTTGCAGCTCTGAAATATGGCCAAACTGGTGGCAAGTGGCATCGTGGCAGCTGCACGCTTGACTTTTCTCAGTTCATGGGCAGTTATTTTGCGCCTTGGTTTTTCCACACGCTTCTTGCGACCCTGTTGACTATTTTGAATGAAACGCTTGATTGTTCGATGATCACGCTTCAGAAGCTTTGCAATTTTAAGAGTGCTGCATCCCTCTGCAAGATATCTCACTATTTTTGACTTTTCTGAGCCTGTCAAGTCCTTCTTTTGACCCATTTTGCCAAAGGAAAGGAAGTTGCCTAATAATTATGCACACCTGATATAGGGTGTTGTTGTCATTAGACCACACCCCTTCTCATTACAGAGATGCACATCACCTAATATGCTTAATTGGTAGTAGGCTTTCGAGCCTATACAGCTTGGAGTAAGACAACATGCATAAAGAGGATGATGTGGTCAAAATACTCATTTGCCTAATAATTCTGCACTCCCTGTATATACACACATATTTTAATATTAATATGTCCAGTCTTTTTTAGTAGCCACTTAGTCAGAAACACTGGCCAAAACTAGCGTTCAAATTATTTTTTTCATTTTTCACACACAAACAAATATTAACACTAACTTTGGCCAGTGTTCGTGACCAAGTGGCTACTAAAAAGGACTGGACATCCCATTTACAATACCTTGGGTTGTCTACTTTTGCAAATGGTATGCCATCATGGGGGTAATTCTTATTCCTGGGCTACCATACGGTCTCGTAACCAATGTGGCGAATTTCAATGTGAAAAAACTGAAAAATTTAACATGCTATATTTGACCCTGTAACTTCCCAAAACACTGTTTTACACGTGAGACATCGCTGAATACAAATATTTGTATTTTATTGCAGTAAAAGCAAACAGTATTATGACATTCACAGTTAAAATCTCACGTAGAACTA